ATCCGGGGAGGAAATTGTCACTACGAGAAAAGAGAAATACAACAAAATTACTGATCTTTAAGTTGTCTTCTACTATTGGCTCCAGCCTGATTAGCATTAGGTAAGAACAGTAATGACAAACAGGAGAACTGCTGAAATTGTTAGACCTTTCATGATGACAAAAGTGAAGAGGACTGGACACTTTTTACTACCCCTATAATTAGCAGACATGAAATGCCCAGGATCCTCTGTACATTGCAAAAAGGAATATATTAAAGTACCAAACAAAATGAAGCATAATATTGTAATACATATGTTTCAAATCACTACTGCATGAGAAAAATTGCAGCTACTCTAATTTGAACAAATTTAGTATGGATGTTATAAAACCTAGAAACTCAAGCACATTCTGATTCGCTAAACGAAACAGACATGATCGATTATACAAAGCAATATTGCAGGTGCATAAAATTAAATAAAAACGAAGCTTACCTAAACTAAAGAGAACACTAACAAATCAGTGATTGTTTGAACAAAAAAGTATGGATAGAAAGGGGAACATGATGGAGAGAAATGCGACCTGTGATAGTCCATAGAGAATTCAAATCATGTAAATTGGCCCTCTGATCTAGTATAGAAGTATCGGTGCGGTAAGGGATCGATCGATCCTAGAGACAACAAACTGTTTACTAAGTGTGCCGAATCAAAAGTCGGAATCACGTTAAATGACCTAATAACACTTCTGTCTGGAACAAGTGCTGAATGTATATTGTCTGTTTACTTTCTCTGTTTTGAAACATAATTTCAGATGCCTGAGAATAATAATGCTATGAATTATAAAAATAAAAAGTCACATTACATAATAAGAAAAAATCATTCGTCTTTATGAGAACAACACTTTAAATTTAAACGTTTCCTTCTAATCTATTAGCGATTTCATTCCGCAAATTCGTCATACTCCCTCCGTCCCTTATAACTTTGCCAACTTTCCTTTTTTGGATGTCCCATTAACTTTGCCACTTTCCCTTTAAAGTAAAGAATTTGTGGTTCCAGTTCATTCTCTCTCCTCTACAGAAACCTCAACCACACAGTTTTTACTTTATTATATCCCGTGCCGGTCAAACTTGGCAAAGTTATTGGGGACGCAAGGGAGTATATTGTAGACTTGTTCTACATATGCTTCTTCTCCAATATCTTCAGGTTCCAGTTGCTTGTACCATTTTGATAACGTAATTGCCTCTTCAACACTATGGAACTTTATTGTGAAAAAGATTTACATAATATAGAAAAGACATTCTAAAGTGGGAGGATACAAATAAACATGGTCATTATCATGAGAAAATATTCATATTACAGGACCATTTACAATCGTAGAACATATTACAAGTGATGAAACTTTATTCGCCATTATCATCACAATTGAGTTGTTTATATAACAATGAAAGGGCAGGGAAGCACATGTAAAGGCCAATTAATTCAAAGTGACTAGTTTAATCTCGATTCACATAATATGAAACAAAACAACATCTCGGAATGGGCAAACAAAAAAATCAGGTTCTAAGTTACATTGATTTCGTGTATCTTAATTCACATCTATGTTCAAGTTCTAATTTTATCACTATAGCAATTACATGGCAATCCCAAATTCTTGAAAAAAATCAGGTTCTAAGTTACATTGATTTTGTGTATCTTAATTTCTTTCTGCGTCTTTTATGACATATCATTTTCTTTTGTTGCCCTCTCTCTTCCTCTACGCTTCATCTCCTCTTTTTTCTTATTTTTCTCTCTCTTCTTCTAGGATGCTCTATATTTTCTTCTTCTTTATTTTATCCTCTTCTTTTTATTCATTTTATCTTACTCTTCTCTTGCTACATGATTCTTTAAACAATTATCACATATTGAAACTAATTGCAGCCCATGAAACCATTATGCCTAATAACTCAATAGTCAACTAGTAGCAGCTAAGATCTAAAATTCTCAAAGAGATCATAAACATGACATGCAGTGCAAGCCCTAAACCATACCTTTCTTTCAATTTATCCCATTATGAAAACAATTCAAAGAGAAGCTTATGTTTCTACTTTGTGATCTGCAGTTTGGAGATGCTATCCCTCCGTCAATCTTGATGCAATGAACGTGTTAAATCTTAGTTTTTTTAACTAGGGTGACGTGTAACTTTTTAACCACTTCAGCAACAATTTAGCCACATCATCATTTTCAACAACAATTTTAGCCATTTTGATACTTTTCTCACACAAAAACTGATACATGTATGCAGCAAAATGAAGCAAAAAAGAGCAACAAAACCTGCCCAAATTTTTGCAGAAAGATGCTGGAAAACACTACCAAGATAAGAGACAAATGTGTACACTTTTTTTGAAAAATCATGCCAAAAAATGCAGAACTAAAATCATGAAAAAAACTGTTTACTTCAAGAAAATATGCAGCAACATAAAACAGAGAACTTCAACTAAACTTCAAGAAAGTGTGCAGAACACTTTTTACAAAACCAACCTGCCCGGTGTTGAACAAATCAGTGAAAAAACTGTTACACAAATGAAAAAAATTAAATAAACAGATTACTATGAAAGAAAAACCTAGATGAATCCACACACGGTTTCAATTATAAACATGGGAAAAATCAATATAAATTTAAGTTTTTCACATAAGCTCAATTAATTGAATCCACACACGGTTTCAACCATTTAATTGAATCAACACACACCTAAAATAGGGGGGAAATAAGGATTCAATGTTCAAATTTCATTTTGTGTTTCAATAACATTTGGGAGATTTAAAATGATGAGAACTGGTGGATATTAAGATTAGAAAATTAATATGTAAATGAAGATAGAGAATTACAAATAAATCTAAGGAAATAGCTAGATGAAGAACCTGAAATAAAGGTGAAGGTTCTTGTTGATGAAGATGTAGCGCTGCTTGTTAAGCTTCTGGTTGGAAGATGAATGAACCGCTGCTCTTTTTAATTTGATGAAGATGGAGTGCTGCTGGCTAATCTTGTGTTGCTGGATGCGTAACGAGTAGAAAGAACAAAGGTAGAAAGAGCTAGGGTTAAAAAAGCCAATAACACGTCTGTTAGCTAAGGAGTGTGATTATCCGGCTGGACCATTAAGTCATATTTCGTCTGAGCGAATAAGTCAAATTTTTCATTAAGTCGTAAGTAAACATGACTTATTGACTGAGCGAAGAAGTCATTCTTTTCATTCAACTCATTAAGTCCTAAGTAAACGGGCCCTAAGTGTTCTAACATATCTTCTTTATTTTGCAGGTGCTAAGAAGTTATGGGACGCCCCTCATTGGTCCCAAATTAATTTGGGCCCAAAGTAACACTTGGGCTGCCCAACCTTCCTTATTTTGTGTAGAAGGGTTATGAATCTTTCTTTACATAGTATTGTGATCTTATATCTAATAAGATAGTCCAATTACATACGTATTTGGAAGTCCATCCTTATAATACGGGCCCAAACAATAGTACGATTAATCATACATTACATAAAACATTAATCATTTTACATTTGTTTGATAATAGGGAAATCAATACATCAACTTTGAATTTTAAATCATAATTTCTAGAATGTCCGGGTGCGGTGTCACACACAAACTTTTAAAAAGTCATATGCATGTATAAGAAATATACTTGGTATGTCAATCATTATTCCTTTTATTAGCCAGAAATTAAAAGATATTAAAGTAACTACCATACTAGGCCTATATAAATAACCATTATTATTAAACCATAAAAAAGTTGGGCCCTGATTAATTAAATAATTGCTACCATATTGAGAATATATTTTATCATAAATTCATAATTGGTTCAGGACGAAGGTGGGCATTATACCTTTTCCTTTTATAAGCTGCAATTATGAATAAAGTATTCTATTCCAACTCAAACATGTTGGCATTAACATATAACAAACATATGTTAGAAAGCTTAGCCAAAAAAAACGTTACTAATCTTCGTCTACACAACACCTTAATCCCAAAAGAATTTGAGGTCGGCTAACATGAATCAATCTATGATATCGATGCCAAAATGAGAAGACGGACAAGAAAGGGAAGAAAAAAAGTAAGATAAAATGAATAAAATAAAAATGAATAAATATAAGATAACAATAACACAAGAATATAATAAAGATAAAAGATAAAAAATAAAAGAACATAAAAAAGCTAAAAGATAAAAATAGCTTAAGAATATAAAAAGACAAGGAAGATAAATGATAAAAGAAAAAAGAGAAGAAAGGTAGATGCGTGTCATGAGTTAGGATAAAGGAGGAGGGTGTTGTGGTAGGCGCGTGACGGCCAACAGTATCACTTAGTCACATCACATGACTAATCTTCATCTAATTAATTTAATTTTTTCTCCTTGCAACCATACCCAATACCTGCAAGGCTGCCACATTGCTGTTTCTTAAGACTTTGTTAAGTTTGACTGACACGAGAAATAATAAAGTAAAAACTATATGAAGAGAGAAATAATATAAGTCATAGATTAATTGATTAAATGGTCTGGGAAAGTGATAAAATTTATGAGATAATAAAAAATGGAAAGATACTGATAACAAAATTTTAGGAGACATATGGAGTATGCTGTATATGACATACAAAGTACATATTTATTACTCTCTTTGTCCCTCAAAACTTTACCAAATTAGACTGACATGAGAAATAATAAATTAAAGTTGTATGATTGAAACTTATACAAAAAGAGAAAAACAGTAGGAAATACAAATTCTGATTTAAAAAGAAAAAAGTTGCATAATTTTGAAGACCAAATAAATATATTCTCTTAATAGGATCAATTAAATATATTTCTTTTTATGCGCTTTCATTAACTTGGAAGGAAAGGGAGTAATAAATTACGTAGTAATGCACTAATATAAGGCAAACACTACAAATGGAATCCTTAACGACGTCGAATTTCAACCTCCGCGGTCGGTCAACACAATATTTAATTATAAAACCCCGCGTTACGTTTTTATCCATTCATCGTAAACGCGTCAGATTGCTACTAATGCTCCTTTTAATCAGCCAACATTCTAACTGAGATCGTACTGTACGCCGTACGTAACGTACATTTTATTTTTTTCGTTATACTATCAATATAAATTTGGTACTTCCGGTACTTCTATATAACTCATTCTTGGAGACTATGGCGAGAAAGAAGTCAGATGCCTTATCATGTCGCCGGGAGGGTCGCGGCGGCGAAGCAGATGAAGCAAAAATGACCAGTCGCGGCGGCGAAGCCGATGAAGGGAAAATGACCAGTCTCGGCGGCGGCGGGTTGTGCGTACCCCAAGATAGCTTGGATGATTTGGACTTCTTCCCTAACTTTTTCGACGATGCTATCCCCTTAACGGACCTCCTACTTTCTTCTCCGTCTCCCCCGGAACATGGTGAAAGTACTATTGAGGACGTTGCGGACATCGAAGATGACGATAGGCGGCCGACGAACGCCGGAGATGGTGAGTCTATGGCTCAGGCGTTGATCAAAGCTCACCCTCCGCTGTCGGAAGATGAATACGAGAGCCGTAAGCCGATAAAGACGACTTGTATGGATGATGGATTGAGTGTCTCCAAACGGAGACGAAAAAGCAGTCCTACAAAGAAAAAGAAGGCAAAAAAGAAGAGGAAGACAGGGAGGAAGTGCAGTCACTGCGAGACGGCGGAGACGCCTCAATGGCGGAGAGGTCCCATGGGACCGAACACTCTGTGCAATGCTTGTGGCGTCAGATACAAGTCCGGCAGGTTATTGCCCGAGTATAGGCCTTTCGCCAGTCCAACTTTTGACAGTTCTAAGCATTCTAACTTTCACAGGAAAATTTTGAAGAGCAGCAGAAAAAATTATACTTCATTCTCTTAGATCAATGGGTATATATTACCACCGTTCTCTTTTAATTCCAACATTGTACTTTTTGCACTATTCACATTATCTACTTTGACTATATTTTATTAATTAATGTATTAAAAATTATTTTTTAAAAAAATATTGTAAAATTCTTCTCATTCTAAATTTTCAAAATATGAATTTTTTAAATTTTTTACTAATAAGGAATGACAGACATTGATGGTCAAACGTGTGGGTTGTCAAACGTGAAATGTTGACTGTTACAATTAAAATAGAACGGAGGAAGTATTACGGAGTATTATACATTCATTGTAATTGATTTGCAAATTTGACTTTTCTTAGTACTTACATCAATGGTCTTTTAAATTCATAGACTTTACGAATGAATTCCATTGACCTTTAAATTCATGGATAAGTTTATAGATATTCAAAAGTCCATATATGGACTTTTAGATTTGAACCGCCATTGTTGGTCGTCAGAATTTTCACTTAGATCGGCTCTACTGATCAGCTTGTCCGCCTCTGTCACCGGAGCTCGTCGTAGTCGTCATCGGACGGATCCATCACCAACAAAATGACTTTGGTCATACAAGGGAATTACGGGCAATCAATAATCAATAATATTAATTAATTAAATTATGGGTAAAATTGTACGTAGTAATATTTAGTCATATTTAAGGGAAAGCAAACATATGATCATACTTTGGGGGAAATGCTATATTTTAGTCCTACCGTGAGTAATTTCCTCTGTATAATATGATAAGAAATAATTACATAAATTAATTAAACAAATGTAAATCATCTAGCAACATAGAGTTTTACAAGAATTAATGAAGCATACAAATCCAAACTTATTTTTATTAAAAAGAAAACTCAAAGTTTCGAGAATGTTCAACAGTCTGGGTTTATTTATGATCAATTATTAAATTAGATAACTGAATTAGTAAGAACATTAATCATTACACAAACATTACGCCCATTGCTACATATGGTACAAGCATTGGTGCAATCGAGTTTTTCTTCTTAATAATTATTTTCTTTTCATTTTAACTCGTTAAATTTTGTATACTTATTTATGGTTATATATTTATTAATTTGATATTATATTTTTATGTGTTAGCGGTTCAACGATGAAACACAGTAATAGTTAAAAATATTTCTTTCCGTAAACCAAGCATTCCAACCCAACTAGTTGCAGTGTTCTAAAAGGCCCGTTAAGGCACCGCAAAGGCGGGCCTAGGCCCAAGGCGTGACCTTTACGCCTCGCATAGCCCAACGGCGTCTCAGCCTACCAAATATAAAATTTTAACTATAATTGTAAACCCAATGAATATTAAGGCCTCCAAGTGAACGAATAAGAAGTTGGCCACTTAAGCTTCACTAACTACAAACTGATGCGGATATCCGCTATGTATACGGTTCTGGAATGAGGAAGGCTTCCTCTCCATCCGTTGTGGGAAAAAGACCTTCTAAATGCAAAACTAATCTCCAAATAATCTCCTTCTAAATGATTGGCCGGGCAAATAGCACCAAGGCCAAAAGCGGTTTTCAACTAGTCTAGAACCAATACTTTAAGAGTGGTTGTTTCATAACCATAAATTATAATACTAAGTCTATTACGTAGTGCTATTCTATATATTTAATTTAATTTAAGCACGGTAATATTTACTACTATTGGATAAAAGCATAATCATAAGTACTACTATGGTTATATGATACTCCGTAATAATTATCATATACGGAGTATTCATTGTTGCTATTACTTTTATAAGGTCCTTATTTTATTATCATTATTACAATTATTATAAGATCAGTATTATATAATGATCATTACAAATAATTTTATTATAGTTTGTATGCTTATTGAACTTTATTTTACCAACTCTTACTTTTTATATACTAGATGCATAAAATAGGTGTTGTTTTGGTAATTTAGAAGTTTATTATTGTTGGAAAATGAAACAGTGTTATAGTTTGCATGATATTTTATAATATTACATTTACATATTTACTAACATATCTATAAAATTTAGATCAGTTTGTAAAAAACTGAAACGCCTTTTTACGCCTAAGTCCCGCTTAAACTCGCCTAGGCTTCAAAGGCCTAAGGCTCGTGCATGCCGCCTTGTCACGTCTCACGCCTTTTAGAACACTGGCTAGTTGTAAGGTTATCGTGCCTAGTGGGAGGTCTCGAGTTCGAAACCTGCTAGGCACATAAGGGTTTGAAACTCAATGGAGTGAGTTTCAGCCCTGATTACTCCAGGCTCCCCCCAGCCCCCCTCCCCCAGACTCCCCCTGGAGTAAAAAAAATTAATGATACGGAGTATTTCTTTCCGTAATGGTTAAGTGATGACGTACGAGAATTGGAGTGATGTAATACTATCGATTCAAATATCGGTTCTTCTAAAAAACTTCTAGTAGTGAATGAATATAAAATTAAGTGATTAACGGTTCTCCTTCATAAGACGACATATAAATATCATTTCTTTTAAAATTTATCTAGTGTATCACTATTATCGTAAAATCTTCTTGTTTACCTTTATTATCGTAAAATGATAAAAAAAATCAAAAATTATTGTTGAAATCTTGCATATTGAGACCATCCTGGTATCCACCTCCCGGCCCGGTAGATACTAGCCCACGACCTGTCGACCGGTTTGTAAACCCTGGTAAATAATTAGCCAAATCTGCAACTTGATCTATATGCATTATGCATACTTGTGACGAATAGAAGACACCAGAAAAGTCCACAAAAATCTTTGGTGAGTAGAAGAGACAATTGCAAAGAATTAATTATGTACTAAGAATGCGTTAAAAGTCTACGAGAATCCATGATTTTATAAGTCAATAAAAATGAATACAAGTTTGAATACACATAGACTTTTATAGACTTTTAAAAGTTTACATTGAATACAATTAGACATTTATATACTTTTAAAAGTCCACATTGAATACACCTAAATTTTAATAATCCATGAATTTTTAAAATTTTGCCACTAATTCCTAATACTCCGTACAATACACCCAATGTAGTATATATTTGTTCACCAAATAGACTAAATATTAAATATTTACGCTCAATGTAATTAATGACTCCTTCCGTCATAATCTAGAAGTGTCCTTTCTATTTACACAAAATTTAAAGTGACACTCCTTGTCACCATTTGAACACTGTTTGACACTATTTTGCACTATTTTATTTACAAAATAAGGAAAGAAGACATGATTAAAAGACATACCGAGATAAAAAAGACCTTTTATATTGGAACGAATGGAGTAATATAATTACTTGCCCCTATTTTGGTGGTGGCGACGACAGTCCAGCAGCGGAATACCACCGGCGAGTGGGCCGGCGGCGTAAGTCAGTAGACCAAGCTCTAACCTTTATGAGGGTATTTTTGTTTAATCACAAACATAACAATAAGTCTTATTTAAGGAATATGAATATTGACTTCTATTTTTAGATTTATTAACATGTATGTTGTACTCCTATTTAAGGAGTTTTCCCTTTCAAAATGACAAAAAATATGATCTCTACAATTTTGGATGATAAAAATATGATCTATTTTTTATTTTTCTTAAAATGCAACTAATTTTTGTTTAATTATTATACTCTTTTTATTATTATACTCTTCTTATAATGGTAATTGCTACCCAATTACCCACGCTTGCCCCCTGACCCATTCTCCGTCCCAATGTCTCTTCCAACAACTATTGGCAGTTGTTGTCGCCTCTGATTGGCCGAAAGTTTGCCCGGAAATTTCCTCGATTTTTTTAGTTTTATTTAGTTTTTTACCGGAGTTTTTTTTCTGACCTTCACAATAATGGAATGTTTCATGGAAATAGTCAATGACATCATGTTTTTTCTAAATTTATTATTCTCTCTGTTCCGTTGAAAGATTCTCACTTTCTTTATTTGGGTGTCCATTTAAAGATTCTCATTCATTTTAGGAAATACCTTACTCCGTTTAATTACAACTTTATTCAAATTTCTCTTTCTTACTAATTAAATGTCAAATTTCACAATTTCTCTTTCCCCAACTTATCTCCGTTTAATTACTTTCACTTTATTTATGTGTTTTACTTTTTCTAAATTTTCTCCCTCCTGTCTTTCTTACCTAAATTATTTTATTTAACCACGTGCCTAAAAAATTGTGTCATTTAACCACGAGAGGTAGTACCATGTTATTATATTAGTCATGTTTTTCACATAAAAAAAGGACGCAGGACATAAGTATTACCTATACATAGGGGTGGGAAAATATACCGAAATATCGGTATACCATACCGAAAAATACCGAATTTATCGAAATTTTCGGTATACCGAAAAGTTCGGTACGGTATGATACCATACCGGGTCACTTCGGTACGGTAAAGGTATGTATTTTTTAAATTTTTGATATTTCGGTATATACCGAAATACCGTTAATTTTCGGTATGGTACGGTATATACCGAAATACCGATATACCGAAATAGAATTTGTAAATTTTTAGGGTCAAACCCATTAAATGAAATTATTAAAATATCAAGGCCCAAAATTAAAATAACCCATCTTATAATACTACGGCCCTTCTCTAGTTCTCCCAAGTAGAGGCCTAAATCCCTAATCAAATAAATGGGATAATTTGAGTTTGCACCCCTTGTTTTGGGTGATATTTGACTTTGCACCCCATTTTTAAAATCATTAATGTATGCACCCTATTAGCCCAAAAAATGTGAAGGAGTGGGATGCAAAGTCAAATATTTTTATAGTGAATTGGGGTGCATACATTAAAGATTTTGAAAATAGGGTGCAAACTCAAATATCACCCAAAACATGGGGTGCAAAGTCAAATTCTCCCCAAATAAATCAACGTAGAGTCAAGCAGCTTCTCTTCTCTTCAACGAGTGACAGAGCTGTGGACTATTGAGCATTGACGATGGAGATGTGGACGAGTGACGAAGATGCCATTGACGAAGCACGGGGTAGCTGACGACCGTCATTATTTGCTAAAGCTTAACCATCCTGGTAATATGAACAATCTGGTCTATGCTCATTCTATATTTATAAACAAATGATAAAGTATATTGATAAAAT